AATGGAAAGAATGATTCAAGAGGGAGATTTATATCATTTATAATACATGTATATGTAGTCGAGATCCAAAAATCACACGTAGGTAGCCGGTTCATATCGCTACTTTTACATTAAAAGTATGATTGTTAAAAAATAAAACTTATTTTCGTAAAATTATTATTTCGATTCAATTTTATTTTTGAATTTCGAAATAACCTAAAATTTTGAGAAGTATTACTATTATCTAACAACCAATTTTTACTTACTTTTAGGGTTTATGATGGAGAGTGGATGTTGGTTAAGAATTGTATTTTATTGCCGTCTAGGGGGTTCCTTAGTTTGATGATAGAACTTCGTTCGATTTGCAATTTGCCGGCTATTAGCTTTTAAGCTCTTTGTGGATGAAGTCGCGATAAAACTATGATTTTAAGAGGAAATTGGGAAGGAAATTGTCATGGGACATTACAGCAAGAAAGGATGACAAATGAAAACACCCAATAGTAAGTGGATAAAGGCTATCGATTATTACCCCTGGACTGGACTATGATAGAACGCCTCATTGAGTGAATATACTCGTACTCTGTGAGATTTTTGTCGACATTCTTGTATATTTTCTTTTCATTGACTGTGAAAATGGATGGATCTAAAAGAAATCCTCAGAAAAGTTGTTGAAATGTATGGAGGATGATCTTCTTCTTCTTCTGGAGCCTCTCCTACCAGCGAAGGTTGGCAGTCAGATTAGTGAACTCCGCTCTATTCTTTGCGAAACAGTTCGGTGGCACTCGCTATTCCCATCCACTCCTGAATGTTAAATAACCATGACTTTTTTCTGCGACCGATGCCTCTTTTTCCTGCAACTTTTTCCAACATAACAAGTTTTAGGAGTTCGTACCTCTCGTGGCTGAATGCATGTCCCAAATATGCGACTTTTCTCATTTTTATAGTGCACATAAGTTTGGGATTTTGATCAACTCGTCGCAGAACTTCCACATTTCGTGACTTTGATAAAAGTAAGAATAAGAAAAAGGAAAGGAGTAACTCAAGAGATGACAGCTAATAGAGGAAAATGAAAGATAAAGATACGATATACCGCAACCAAATAACTTCGGATAAAAGAAAAAGGGAAAGAAGCAAGCAAGGAGTTTTTGTATAGATTTTCGCGACATCAGTCAGTGGATCCTCAAGAAAACCTTATCCGTCAATCTATACATATAATAAAACAGTAACGAAATAAAAACTGTACATTGAGTATTTTCGAAAAAAAAATAAGTGACTTTTCTTAGAAAAACGTAACTGATGACAAAAAGTGACTTTTTAGAATTTTTGTCTGTTTGTCTGTGTGTATGGTACGGCTTCACTTCATTCAGCAAAAATGTTCTTTGTAAACCTAGGAAGGCTTTAGGCTACATATTATTACGTTGTATGTTATAGGAGGTAAACAGTATACTTGATTTTAAAAGGGTTTTCTTCGTAATTGAATGCACAAAATGACATGTTATTAGTTAAAATGAAAATAAAAATTTTACTCTAGGAACATAATTATCACGCTATTTTTATAAAGGAGCGAGGCAGTAACATTATAAATTGTTAGGGAACAGCTGTTTAACAATATTGCAAAGGGAATTTAGCGGTAAGGTCAGGCGACCGTTTACCGCATTAAATGGTGCGAGTTTAAATCCCATAAAATTGTTTTGAAAAATCGTTATTTTTGTTTAATTTTTGCACTTTTTACGTGCATTAGGAAATCCGAGAACTTTACATGTCCTATCTAATCGTATGGAGAGTTTCACACTAATATTACTAAACAGATTGATTGATGGTACAACAAGTTACACTATCATGAAGTCAAGTCAAACTTTTGGTTCTAAGTTATATCTTACCAAGCAATGCCTGCGACATTTGTTGCAGGTAATCAATTTAAGTATGTAATTCTTAGTTTTGTTCCTTGTTGCTGTTACCATATTTTTTTAATGCAAAAATAATGTGTTGTTGGTAAATAATATGTAGTATCCGTTTTCTAACTAGATGGCGTTGGCGTCGAGTTAGATCGCGCTATGGTTTCGTTCCCAAAAAGTGATGTTACAGGTGCCGATGGGCCGCTTTCATCCTATAGAAACGGGGGTTACCTTTGTTGTCTGTGTTGGTTGATGTGTTTAATTTTCCTGCGAATAATATTTATTATTTTTCTACTTACTAGCAATTCTTACGTAATTATTCGATAACTTTTTGTTGTTTTGAATATCGTTAGTATCGGATTAAGAAGGAATTTTAGCTATGCCTTTTAAAAAAAGATCAAATCTGTCTCGAAACTCAAGAGTTTCTAAGATGCGCAGGTTAGTTCGATCTCTCGAAACCGACGCAGAGCGTGAACAACGGCTGCACTATGTTTCTCCGCAGAAACTAGCACGCAGCACCAATTACGACTATAACTTAAACGAGTCCGCACTACTGCTTCTCTATCTCAGGAAAGTGTGGAACAACGAGAAATGCGTTTAGCTATCGACCGGGATCGTCATTCTTTGTCTCGCACATCCGAAACGGTTACACAGAGGGATCAGAGGTTGAGTCTTCAGAATATTCGCTCTGAGACTACTCTATCACTTGAGAGCAGTCAGGAGCGTGAGATACGACTTGCGCGTAACCGAGAACGTGGGAAAACCCAAAAGAGAGAGAGAAAAAGAATTTGTTTTAAAGTGATTTGCAATATTATTGTTAATTCAGTGTACCCTTGGGATCCGGTGCATTCCGCATCGGATCGGTGAAATGTACTGGATGAAAAGGTTTATGTTGTATAGGTGTTAAGTCTAGGAAATATATAGGCTATAATTTATTTTGGAAAATGGAACACCTGATGCAGAACCGCAACAGACCAGCTAAAGTATAAGAGATATAAAAATGGTGCCATAGCAAAAAATATTCCACTTGCAGAGTATTTTCTGCTGTGAGAATAAATTTGAAGATCTGGAACACCTGTTGTGAAACTCCAAGGCCCAGCGACATTATAACATACTTAGTCAGGCCATAAGTTCTGTTAAAAACTTTTTATAAAATTAATGATAAACTTTTTGATAATTATATATGAAATGAAAGTTAGTTTAATTAAGAATACAATTTTATTTACATAATTCAAAATTCCCTCCCCTATTTTGAATATATGCCCTTAAACGACGCGGCCAATCATCAGTCGCAGCACACACCACACTCATATCTATTTCTGCCGCTGCTTTAGCCAAAGATGTTCGGAGAGATTCCAAATTCTGATGAGGTTTAGCGCAGACTTTCTCCTCTAAATGTTGCCATATCTTATAATCCAGTGAGCCTAAATCTGGACTAGAAGAGGGCCAGTCTTCATGTGCGATAGAGATAGAATTCCATGGGCGGTCAACCAGTTTTGCGTGCCTCGTGCCCTATGAGCTGGTGCAGATTTCTTTTGGAATATCCAATGTCTGTTTTTAAACATTTTTTGAGAAAAAGGTTCCACTATGTATGTTAGGACGGTATTTTGGTACACCTCGGCACTGGTTTTTACACCTTTTTCACAGAAAAACCCCTCAGTTAAGCCTGAATATGAGCCTTCAAGTCATACTATGAGTGACGAAGGCTAGTGTGCTAGTTGAAACATCGGAATACGCGTGCTGGCTTCTTCACTGCTGTGGGCATTGACCTTATCATTTTGTTTATTATAACTTTCTTCTATGGTAAAAATTTTTCATCCGAAAATAAAACTTCGCGGTATTTTTCTCCCGCATACCGCCGTAACAAAGCGCGGGATCTAACCAGCCTAATTTTTTTCAAACGCTCGTTCATAAAATATCCGGTCTTCTTACGATAAGCTCGTAGTCCTAGGTCTTTATTGATCACTCTTTTAACCGTGGTTCTGTTTAAGCCCATTTGAAGAGCTAAGATTTTTTTTGTTTACGAACAGGATTTCGTTCGATTCGCGCCTTCACTGCTTTGATGATCGCGGGTGTCCTAACTTTACGAGGTCGGCCGGTCCTCTTACGATCTTTAAAGCTAGATTCTTCAGTGAATCGTTTGATGGTGTGATAAACAAATCGTAAGGTTATTTTCAATTTTGGTAGAATATTGAATATCTCTTTTGGCGCATAACCACAGCGGTGCAAGGCGATAAACGCTACTATTTATTCGACCACTCCATATTTGAAAATGAATCAAAATTAATGTCTATTTTATTTTCGGCAAGTGCAAACGTTATATTTTTAAAATTGGTGAAGTTCATCTAGTGAGTATTCAAATAATAAGGTTTTGACAGAACTTATGACCCGACTAAGTATGTAGGAATGACGTCTTAGCAAAAGTTGTTTAGTCTGATGGGCATTTCCTGTTGACTTACAAAAGTGAAAGATCTGGAACGTCTCGAATCGTTTCGCGCATCACGTTGTTTTCCCGTCCCCGGGCTCTTAGAATTCGACATCAGACGTTTCAGATCTTCGATTTTGACGACCCCGTTATCGCTGGTATAAACAACATCATCTGCGTACGAAGTCGCGGGCATCAGCTAGTAGCATATATCCTGGTAAGGTTGCTTTGAGAAAAAAATACACAGAAATTTTCCTTGATACTTAAGTTTTTTTAAACTTAGATAAATTTATCACAAAAATTCAACGACCTAAAATCCTAAACTATGAATTACCAATTAATATCCACCACTGCTATTAATATTATTAAATATTTTTGAAACAAATATGGTTAAAATACTGTACTTTAATCCTTTTATAGAATAAAGCTGACAAACGATCACACAATCCAAATGATGGTTAGTGGATGCTGTGGCCCATAGATATCCACATTTATCCTTAGTTGACACATATCATGCCGTACTAACAAATGAACTAAACTTTTTTTTGTAAAATACGTTCGTGGAATGTGAGGAATGTCTTATTTCACTATTTTCGCCACATTTTACATATAATAGTAAGATATATAATAGTAAGATAAATAAATAAATAATGGTGGCAGCCATATATGGCTGACGCGGTGCCACTGTAATAAAATTCACAATGGGGCCGTGTCAACCATTTTGTCAGCCATTTGATTTCAAAAGCGCGCGAAACGAGCGCGTCGCTCGCCGCCGCCGGCGCCATTTTGATTTTATATTGTCGTGTGTTTGCCCCCCGCGCGTCATTCGTCAATGTGCATCGAAGGAGACTGCAGTAAATAGTTGTTCAGTGAGTGATTTAGCACCTTATACGTTACTGATTTGTGATTTTCAACAAAAAATGGAAGATTTTGATGATGATTTGGACTACGAACTATCGCAATTAGATTTATCAGAGTATAATCAAAAATGTAACACATTATCGAATTGTGTACTACAAGTATTTGACGTTGATCTCCATGAGACAATATCAATCGCACGAACCAAAAATCATCATCGATGGCAGATTTTATCTGACAGTGAAGATGATCAGATTCCCATATTACCGCCCTCACGAAATACAGAAGTATGATTCAATCCGTTGGGTAAGCAACCAAGCATTATCCCATATACTGAATGTCCTTAAGCCTGGGCTTAAGCCATTTTCATTGCGATCCAGCAGAGTTGAGCTAAACCAGCGGAATTTTATTAATTGTTAGTACCTGATAGTATATTCAAGTACATAGCCGAAGAAACAAATCGCTTTGCTTTACAAACCTTGAACAAAAGTGCAACAAAATCATACCGAATGCAGAAATGGATGCCTACAGATTGCCATGAAATTAAACGCTTCTTTGGCGTTTTGATTTGGATTGGGATAGTGAAACTACCCCAACTATCTTTGTACTGGAGCACTAACAAATGTTTTGAACAACAATTTGTTAAGTCCATTATGAGCCGAAATCGATTCGAACTCATATTGAGGATGTTGCACTTTGCCAATAATGAAATAAATCACAATAAGGATGACCGATTGTTTAAAGTTAGACATTTATTAGACATGCTGAATGCTAATTTTAAATGTCATTATACACCTAATCAAGAAATGTGTATTGACGAAAGTCTAATCCCATTTCGTGACCGCGTTATTTTTAGGCAATACAATAAAAATAAGCGACACAAATATTTATTTATTTATTTATTTATATTTCCTACTAACATCTACCATTACAGGGAAAACCTAAATCGATAAATGTAGCATCTCAATTCAAAAATTAACAATTCAAATGGTAAAAGATTACTAATTACAACACAATAATTAATTTAAATAACAATACATAATAATTAATTTCAATGACAATACATTACAATCAATTGTATACTACAATTTAAGAATAACATATTGTAAATAATGTCACTTTTGCGAATTCACTCCGTGAACACGAAAATAAGTCCAACTTCTCAGCTACCAAATTTAGTATGTGTATCGTTCGCGTGAGGGGGGTATTGCGAACCAGTTTAGTCCTGCCGCGTGGCATCGCGAGCAAGCTCGGCCGTCGTCGCCGCTGTACATACCTATCAGGCACGCATAAGCCTATCCACTGCAGCACACCCGGGTTGCTGATGTAACCACGGAACACCCTTAAAATGTAGATTACCAGCGCTAGATCTCTTCTAGTTTCCAACTTGTTGTATCCAACCATACCTAAAACAAACAAGGTTGGATACATCAAGGGGTAGGATGGATAAACCCCATAAAGCTTATGATATATAAATCGCGTGAATTTATTCTGAATGCGCTCCAGCATAAGATTGTATTTATTTTCATGTGGAGCCCATATTGCTGAGTTACACTCCAGCTGACTCCTTACTAGAGCATCATACAGCACTGAGATTGCTTTAATGTTGGTAAATTTTACTGCTCTGCGAATGATAAACCCTAGTCGTTTATAAGCTTTCTTACATATATTCATGATGTGCTCCCAGAATGTCAATTTGACATCCATCTGCACTCCAAGATCCCGGACTGATTCCTCCCTCTTCATTAGCTCGCCATTCACCTTATAGTTGTAATGGAGTGGTGCCCTTGCACGACTAAATGATAGAATAGAGCATTTTGAAATATTAAACTGCAGTTTATTTTTATGGCTCCATTCAACTACTTGGTCGATATCTTGCTGAAGGTGCCGACAATCATCCTCAGTCTTGATGGCTAAAAGCAACTTTAGGTCGTCTGCAAATAACAGACATTTAGCCTCTCTTAATACTTCGGGTAGATCATTAATCATTATGTTGAACTCTAACGGCCCTAAATTACTGCCTTGACTTACGCCAGACCTAGTAAAATAAGGCTCCGACCGGTACCCGCCATACTCCACATACTGTTTTCTATCTCTCATGTAACTTGCAAAAAAATGAAGCAGTTTAGGTGTGCAGACAGCTTTCGCCATCTTTGACAGTAGGATATCGTTATCTACCAAGTCGAACGCCTTCCTAAAATCAAAGTAGGCGGCATCTACCTGCAACCCTGCATCAACATGAGGAACCAAATACGTCATGGCATTTAAGAGGTTACTAGTTGTGCTCCTCTCTAGCCGGAAGCCGTGCTGGGCGTCCGATAATTGCGGTGCAACTTATTCCTGTACACTTCGCTGAATGGCTCCCTCAAACACCTTCGCAGGTGCTGAGAGAATCGCCACTGGTCTGAAGGATTCAACTGTAGGTTTGTTACCTCCCTTAGGTATCGGAATAACACGCGTGATTTTCCAACTTTCTGGAAAATATGAATTCTTCAGACACAAGTTGAAAATATGTAATAACGGTTCTGCCAGCACTGAGCGGCAGTCTCGTATCACAAACGCCGGTATACCGTCCGGGCCCGCCGAGCGCTCGGGCGAGCGCGCGCACCTCACCTAGCTGCAGTGCGGCACGTGCACGCGCGCGCTGCCCGCACCGCCCGCCAACACCGCCTCGTCTACGTTCAAACGCGCTGGCTCGCTGTTGTACACTGAATAGAAGTATTTGGCAAATTTAGTCGCACTTTCTTGATCTGACAATGTTACTCCATCTTTCAATATTTGTTTACGTTTAACGGTCCTTTTTTTTCGCCCTAATATGATCCCAAAAAGACTTAGGATCTTTTGTCAAGTTACTTTGCACACGATTTTGATAGTTTAGGTATGCGCTATCAATAGTTTTCTTAATTCGCGTCCTGCAAGCAGAAAAAGCTTTGTAATGAGCACGAGATCCGGTCGATTTATATAACTTGTGAAGTTTAGCCTTTAATTTTATGTCCCTGATTAAATCACTAGTATACCACTCGGGGTAGTGTCTTTGATCTACTTTATTTTCCCGCTTTTTCGGTACACATTTATCTAAAACACCGTAAAAAACATTATAAAAAAACTCTAAAGCTTCCTCTGGTTCTTGTGTCTCGTTAATCAAACTCCAATCGGCGCAAGCTAAATAAGAATAAAATAAGCAAAAATCAGCTTTATAAAAATTCCATTGCGATTTAATTTGGTTTGCTGATGTCTCACGGTTTAAAGCAACGGGCTCGGCCCCCACGGGTAGCAACGTCACACCGCCAGCGCTGAGCTCCAGTCACCGCGAGCGGTGGATGATACGTGTCCACAGGCACTAATGGTTCGTCAGCTTCGCATACTTGTACGCCATCACTTAATCCTAACGAACACAACACTAAATCTAGTTGACTCCGATTACAATTAAGGACTTTATTCATCTGAGCCAATTCGCAAAAGGACACAAAATATTCAAAATAATTTTTAACATTATCATTACTTGAATTTAAGTTAAAATCACCTATCAAAATAATATGTCTATATTTAACACACAATTGTTCTATTATCTTAAAAAAAAATCATGTAAACATCTTCCTTAGTCTTAGGCGGGATGTAAACAACGCAACATAAAAATAAACATTTATCTTTAGCGTGTACTGTCGCACAAACCAGTTCAAATGAGCAGTTATCTATGTTTACGTCACCCGGTGTATTCACTCGTTGCAGCTGTAACCCGTGTGTGGCCACGAGAAACGCGCCGCCTAGCTTACGGCCGTCTGCTCGATCACACCTTATTATATCATAACCTGGTGTCACAATCTCCGCATCCATTATAGAATCGTTGCATCCTGTTTCCGTAATAGCAATTATATCGGCATTCAATGATTCAATATTGTTACTAAACCAGTTTAATTTTGTACGAAGACCCCTGACGTTTTGATAGTAAAATTCAAAACTATTATTTTTCTTTAATTGGTTTATTTGTAGCTTTTCGAAACCAAATCCACTCGCAAAATTCCGCATTGATGGGCCAGACTTCCGGTTGACACAACTTATCATACATTGACTCTGATACCGTTATGATAAAAGAAGCGTAATCCCTCTCTGTCTTATGCTTAATTTTCTCAATCTTAACATTAGCATCTGGACTACATACTCCTTTGACATGTGATGTTAATTTATCACTTGTGGTTTCTTTACTCAAACGCCAAACGTGAAGGTGCCGCTTTTTTTTCAGTAGCCTGTATATCTAATAAAACCGTATTATTTCCTTTTAATACTTTTCAAGCTGTGCTCAAATCCAGGATACACTGTAAAAGTGCAAGTTTATGCTGGCAAAACTATGATAATGTGAATACTACACCGACTAATGTTTGCCTTGCATTACGCGATGATTCTCTAAATAAAGGACATACTGTGTGCACAGATAACTGTTATACCAGTTTGGATCTAGCACGAAAACTATTAGCAGGACAAGCTCACCTCATAGGCACACTTAGAAAAAATAGACGAGGTTTACCTCAAACAGTTGTCCAAACCAAACTGAAGACATGAGAATTCTCAGCTCAAGAAAATGACGACGTAATAACAATTATGAAGTGGAAGACAAGCGGGATTTACTGCTGCTGTCTACTAAGCACTCCGTTAGTTTCAGAAGAATAACTAAAAAAGGAAAAGAAAAAATAAAACCGAAGATTGTGCTAGATTATAATCATGTGAAATCAGCAGTTGATCTGTCAGACCAAATGTCCTCTTACAAGTCCCCTCTTCGGAAGACAACAAAATGACCCAAGAGATTGGCGATGGAGCTATTACTGAATACAGCGATTGTAAATTCATATATTTTATATAAATTAACAACCAAGAAGTAGCTCTCTGTCGTCCAGTTTAGAACCCCGTTGGTTGAATACCTCGTGAATACAGGAGTCCCGGAAACTAGAGCCTCCGCTAGACTTAGGCGAGTAAAGCATGAATTGAAGAAGAGGCAAGAGTTGGTCTCTGCCTGTCTTAAATATTGTGTTAGGTGTTATAAAGAAAACTGTGCCCAATTCGGAAGAGTTCATGCTCGAAATAAAACCAAAAGAGTGGTAACATACTGCGAGGATTGCCCGAATGAGCCACACTATTGTATCAACTGTTCCAATTTAGACCATAGATATATTTGAGTTAAACGTGTTTGAACATGATGATTGATGTAGGTTTGATTTATTATGTTGCCAATGCCAATTTAAATATGAATAAAAGCATTTAAAAGATTTACCCACACGTATCATTTGCAAAAAACTAACCA